ACGCTGTCCTGCACCAACTTGATTCAACTTCTCTCTTCATATGTGCTACTAAGAGAGAAAGAGGTGAGAGAGGAGTATGAGAGAGAGAGAGATGGAGAGGGCCTGTCTGTCCAGTAGCTTATAAAAAGTCCATTATGGTGTGCTTCTATCAGTTTGGGCTCTCCCAGATGGACCCTGGAGTAAATGGACAGCACCAGAGAGCTATAAGCTCAGATTTGATATACGGCTAAGAAATTGCTCTGTGTGTGTTTGTGTGTGTGTGTGTGTGTGTGTGTGTGATTGTGCACGTTTAGGAAGGTGTGGATTCAATCATATAAGCTGCATTGCAAGAGCTGACAGTAGTCAACGGTGAACATTTCTGTGCCACGTTTTTTGTGCACGGCATTTACTTAACACGGCTATTTTACCATATTACCATATGCACTACCCTGCCACACATGCACACACACACACACACACACACACACACACACACACACAGTATTCCCAGCAGGCTTAAATCCCGGCTCAGTCTGACAAAGGAGCCTGTGGCTCTAACTGGCTCTGCCCCAATCCCCTTCCCCAGCCTGCTGCTTTGTACGGGCTCAAAACCGCTTTACTGCATGACGTTTATTTATCAGCCATATTTACTTCCTATTGTGAAGGTGTGTGTGTGTCTCAGCGTGTGCGTGTGTGTCAGATCAAGGTATATTTCAGCTTTGGTGTCATTGTTCAAGCAAGGGTAGGCAACATCGGAGGAACTAGCAGATTTTCCTTCCTTCAGGCCTCCCTCCAAAACCACTCCCCAAAAACACATTTCCATGTGCAGTGAGGTTTTTGACTTCAGAGCATTTGATTTCTTATTTAATTTCATTTCAACCAATATCCCCAAAAATGCCTTAGACATAAATTGCCTACACTTGCTTTAATGTGTATATTTAGATGTTCAATATGCCGTGTTCATGTCTTCCTGCTTGTGTGTTCATTGAGGCTATCCCATCAGTTTTTGCAATAACTTGAGGAAGCTGACAAAAGCCTGTGACAGTACTCCGCAGGCTGTGGCATGTCCTTCTGCATGTTCCTTTATCAACTGTTTGAAAAAAAGAGAGTAAAATGGCCTTGAGCAAAGAGGTGGATAAGCAGAGCTGCCAACTATCGCGGATTGAGCGTCACTCACTCGCTTCATACTTTTCAAATGCGGTCATGCCACATATTCTCACGCAATGAAAAAAAAATTGTGACAGAGTGGTAACGTAAGAGTTCTGCCGTATAAAAATGTTAAAACTGAGGCATGAACCTACTCTGTTTGGGACCGTCTCTCTGCTCCAGGATGATTCGCATTGAAGCGGCTGGGAGCTGCACTTTATCTGTGGTGGTGAAGTCAACATCTGTGTGGGTTTGTGGTGGGATTTATGCCCTATCATAAGTGAATTCGGTTTCATTTCCCACCCCCTTGTCTCATCCAGTACACTCCCAAAACGGTTCTGTGTCTGTCAGACGGTCTGAAGGGGATACTACCATATTAGCAGAACAATAACGCAGGCTAATGCACAGCAGAGTACAGGGCAGGTAGACTACTTTACGAAAATATATTTAAAGTGACATTTTACTGCAGTTTTCATTTGATGTACTTGTGCCACTAGGTTGCACTTGTTTAACACTAGAACCGCCAACGGGTCAAATTTACCAGGGGCTGTTTTTTGATTGTATGTATCTTTTTTTCAATATAATATAGTCCCCCAGTCTCTGACTTTTCCTAAAAGTCTGTTAAGTAGAACCGACTATTGTTAAAAAATGTCAATATAAAGCCAGATTTAAAAAATGGGCATTTATACCTATAAGCCCCAGCAGGTAAAATTTACCCCTATAGAGAATACAGTCATTTTAGCGCTGTCCCACTACAGGCATTACACTTGCTAAGCGCAGTGAGTGAAGGAGAGTCTGATGGTGGAGGCTGAGCGATGTGTCCTGGGTTGATTCTGCATCTGACGGGTCATTATCTGACAGCGATCCACCTGAACATGATCATCAAAACTAATGCTGCAGTAGGCGAGTTTTTGCCTTTGATAGAGGTGTGTTCTGCGGTCCCTTCAAGAGAGCGTGCAGCTCCCTCGTGTGCTTTTTGACCAGCTATAACTTTTCCAACGCTTTGTATTTTTTAGTAACTGATCATTACGCCTATACATTTTTCCGTTGGGTAAAAATCTACTATGAATTTTGGAATTGATAATAATAATTTTTTTCGAATAAATAGCCTACTTTTATTTGGACTTTCAAACTTTTATAGCTATGTTTTACTCTCTGGATGCCTGATGGAGTCCGAATAAACAAGCAGAACAGTAAGAACTAGTCGACATTATGAGGCTCTTATTATTACCGCCTATAAAACACTACAACAGTCAGTCTTTTTTGTAAATTGTATGCTGCATTTAAATTCAAGCTGTGTTTAGAATATAACTAGGCTATAACATCTATAACATCTATAACAGCGGCGAGTGGATGACATCAAAAGAGACGCTGCGTGTGAACGTGCACTTCACAGATGCGCAGCGCAGGCGAACAACCTGCACGGGGAAGACAATGAATAAAATAGAATAAACATTATGTAAATGCCTGAAATATGGGGATGGTGTTTATAGGAAATGCACAGCCAATGTGCTAAATGTTTCCCAAAGTGTGTTGGAGCAACATGTAGCAGAAATAATCACAAAATCACATCATTTTTATTGCAGGTAAATTTTACCCGCTATGGCGGTTATAGGTATACAACAAACCCTGGCGGTTCTAGTGTTAATGTCAGTTGCTTTCTAACTGCACAAACATCTTAACATTGTAATACCCTCAACATAACAGTAACTCTTGGGGGAGGGCAGCTGTTGCTCATTGGATAGAAAGGTCATCCCCTTATCAGAAGGTCTGTGATTTGATCCCTGGCTCCCCTGCATGTGAGAGTATCCTTAGGGCAAGATGATGAACCCTAAATTGTGAATGTGTATTTCTGTTTCTTCAGACAAGATTATTGAGCTTAGTGATGGAGATGCAGCTGAAATGGGTTGACCAAAACTGGGATGAGTGGTCTGCTTTTACACAGTTTTATTTTTGGTCTTTCAACATCAAGTGTTCTCATTACATCACCTGTATGTAGACAGGATTGAGTAGTCTGGCTTGTCTAGACTAAAATTCCCTCAAATGCAAGATATGTTGATGATGACCTATAATTATGTCATATATCATATTTTTCAAGGACTACACTGCACCTAAAACCCAGGTGGTCTCTTCATTCGTCAAGGAAAGATTCACACATTTTCACTTCACTGACACTTCTGTCAGGTCACACTGAACCATCAGCACTACTACAAGTCAAAAAAAAAATCACATCTCCACCTCTGCTCCTGACCATTCATAAGATTATCGAACCGCACGATTGGAAATGATACTGCCAGCTATGGAAAATAGAGTCCCCTGGAGATAAAGAAACAGCTGAAATGAGTGGGAAAAAGTAGGGATGAGAGAGGGCAAGACGATTTGATGAAGTGTGTGATGATGTATCCATTAAAGTGCAGTCCAGAACATTAAACAATATAGTGGGGTTTGTAAAGGTCAGTACTCTCAAGGGGTTTATCCATATTGATCTTTCGATTGTGGCGGACTCTGCACCATTGTCCATCTAAATCCTCTACTGTGTTGTAGACCTAACGGAGAGAAAGAGAGAGAGCGAGAGAGAAACAGAGAAAGGCAGTCTTCACAGGTCATTTTATGTGAGACAGTACTTGTCTGTCGTGCTTTGCTGACTATGTCTAAGATGGAAAATGACTTGGAAACTCCCAGAATCCTCCGGTGCTCTCAGAATAAATTAATACATTTTCTGTATGTTGTTTTGTTGCTACATTTTATTATTTACATTCCTCATGAATTATTTTAGTAGGCAGACTTTAAACCTTCCAAACTCCTGTCAGTAGATCAGTGGCATGGTAATATTTGTAGCACATGTTTTCTAGGAACACGAGCAGCATTGCTGGCTTTGTGGCTGTTACCAGACATGAACAGCCGCAGGAATTTAAAAAAGAAGGATGAGAAGAACTGGAAATTAAACCCCACCCCCACTTAGTTACTACTGACAGGAGTAGGATCAAGCTATTCACTCTAGCACAATAGGATCCATAAGCAAAGGTAACAATGCCAAATTGAGGCTCCCATTCGAAAATTGGTAGTGATTTTTGAAGCAATGCCTCGTCAATTTCCAGAAATAAGCAAAAGCAGGCTTCTCATTTCAGCCGACAAAAGTCAGAGCCGTGAGAAGCCTGCTTTTGCTTATTTCTGGGAGTCAAAGATCACTGTCAGCAGATTTTATCAGCTGTAGCTAGCTAGCTTTTGTAAATGCTTATGCTAACATATAAACTTCATGAATTCTTTGAAAACTCTGTCGCTGACTTTTCATTGTTTCAAGATGTTTGATTTTAAAATGAGAACTCTGTAAAGGCGGTGCAAATAAACATATGATGGCTAGGCTATATACACGATAAAGCTGTAATAAAGATGATAAAGATGTAAGCCTGTTTGGTTGCTAGGTATAGAAAAATAGGAAAAAGAGATTTATGCTTTATCATTTGTATTTTCAAACTTTACTTTTATAAGACACTTTTATAAGATAAGTCTTTGAGGATGAAGACTAACTGATGTTTAGCAAACCTAGTGGTATCTAATGTACTGTTTAGCTGGGGTTGCTGAAGTTTTTGCTTGCAATAAAGGGAAAGACAGAGCTGCTATCATTACCCTCAACTCTTATAACATCTTGGTTTCCAGGCAGTATGTTCCAGTAATGAACAGTTATCTTTCTATCATAACTTGTGACTCCCAAAAATTATATATATACACTATATACACTGACTTTGGAGATAATGCTACATTACTAATGTAGGAAGTCAAGTACACCACAAGTTTTGTAACATTGTCTGCTGAATTCTGATGAATGATGATTGGTTAGGAGGATGAGTAGTGTTACAATATCTAGGAGCATAGTCATGGCACCTGCACAGAGTAAGTGGGCATTTGTACTGTGGCAAATGAAAACGTGTAAATCCGGGGCTGTTGGCATGTGCATCTCTCCTCTCGATTTGATAGTCACCTTAGATGCAACAATATTCTTTTAAGTCGTTTTTTTAGGCATTTATGCAATGAGGCAAAATTGAAATCTGTTCAATGTCTTCTAAAATATTACAAAGCGATGTTGCATTGTTTGTTAATTTCAGTTTGTTGTGAAATAAAATAAAACTAGCAACCCACATACATGCACACAGTAGTTATTTATTTTACAAAGGAGCTGTAGCTAGTTGTTGAAATGATTACATTGATCTTTTGGTAAAATATTGTACTTATGCCGTTAGAATGTAAAAAAAACAACTCTTTTCCCCCCCTGACAAAGCGTTGTCTCTGTAATAGGCCAAATTAGAGGGCTGCTGGCAATGGCCATTTGAGCAACCATGACAGAGCCAGTGACACTTCCCAGGCATTTGCGCAATGGGAGGCAGGGGGAGGATGTGCTGTGCGTGCATGTGTTTTTCCTTAGGTCAACTCCTTGATAGAAGCTAATGCGAGGAAATTTTAGTGTCAATCACTTTTGCACTCTGTAATATAATACTCACACACAATCACATTCAATGTGGCTAATGTGTCTTAGGTATACTGTAAATCTAAGTCAGAGGAGGAAGAAGTATCCAGCTAAGTAAAAGTGCTAATACCATACTGTGAAGATATTCCAGGAATAAGTAAAAGTCATGCTTACAAAACTTTACTAAAGTAAAGTATGGAAGTATTATCGGCAAAATGTATTTAAAGTATCAAACGTAAAAGTACTCACTACAGCTAAATGGTCCCTATCAGTTTTATGTGGATTCATGTTTATGGTGAATTTTGTCTGCTATTAGGTTGAGTTGATTTTAACTACTTTATATACTTTTGGGTAGTTTAATCTACAGCAATTCATCATATTCTTTAAGATCATCACATGTTTGTAGCATTGCTGTCCTACGAGAACCATATATCTCTAAAAAGTAAATGTTTCATGAGCTCAGAAAAACAGCCCTGTTTTCAGCTTTGTGTCGATGCATTTTCCACTAATCCACTGTTTTTTAATTTTTTTTATTGTTTATTTAGCATAAGAATTAGGACAATTTTCTCAACCCATAAAGGAACACTTGATCCTTCAGTATATCAAACATTTACATTTCAAATCACCGGATTTGGAGATTGATTTCCACTGGACAGGAAGAGTATGAAAAACTGTAATCTGTAGAGCAATGGGTAACTAAAGCTGTCAAATATGGTGGAGTAAAATTTACAGTGTTTCCCTCTGAGATGTAGTGGAGTAGAAGAATGAAGCAGCATAAAATGGACATACTTAAGTAAAGTACTTGAGTAAATACTTGTAAGTACTTAGTTGCATTCCACCACTGCTCTCAGCTTCTATGAGTAAAAGCAACCACTGCAAAAAATCCCACGGGCAAGAAGTACCCATGTGGAAAAGATCTGCTAAATCAAAGATTGTTTCCCCTGCCGAGGGAGTTGATTAAGCCTTGTGTTGCTGAAACTAAGCCTACAAATCCATTTGCACAGATCAGAACAGTCTGCGCTCATGCCTCCGTATGTTTGTACCAATTGAGATAAAACCGACTTAGATATGTTGCATGATTCCACTTTCTCCATACTCTCTCTCTAGGCAATCATTCTGTTTCCACAAACTCTCATAATTTAAATCAGATGTGCTCTCTGATATATTTAGATTCTTTTTTTTTTAGTTACTTACTTTGCTGTGCTGAATTGTGAATACTGTCACATTGCATTTCAATGTGAATATTTTTATTGACATTTCATGTTTTCCCTCTAAGCTAATGAGCCAGTCAGAACTGACTTCTTCCTGATTTTCTGAGATAATATTGCAGACTTGACACTCTGTTATCTGTTTCTGCACGATGTGTGCTGAAATGTATCAGGGTGTTCTTTAAATATTCTGCTACAAGGAGCAAGCCAAGGGAATGTAGGCGTTAGTATTTTTATTTTTGCCAGAGTCGTGTTTTGGATGTACTAAAAAACTTGCCTTTTTTGACTTCTATGAGTGTACAAAATAGCAGTGGGTGCGATGAGCATTTTATCTACTATAGCTTTAAAAAAAACAACTTTCTGTATGCTATGGCACAATTACATCTAGTATACAAACTGTGCATCCATTTGCCAGTTTTTGTTGTAATCTTTCTATTTAACACACTTGGCCTCTCACTGGATTTCATATATCAAGCTATACACTGCAGATTTTACGCATGAAAAAGTGAAATAAATGTGGTTGTTTTATTTACTTTTCCAGACCCATATGATGATGATGATCTGAAGGTGAAGACCCAAAGACCACGATCAGCTGACCAGCCAGGTGTGTTTCAGGCACAGACAGGTGAGTAATGTGTGTGTGCATGTGGGAGCATGAGTGTGTGTGTGTGTGTGTGTGTTCACAGCACAGAACAAGAGTATCCAACTTGACCTTGACCTACAGGCTGTATGTGTAAGTTAAAATAAGGAGTTCCATATAAATAATTTTATAAATTTACCTTTTGATGCATGACTGATCCCTGGGGAAGCTTCCATAATTGACCATAGCCATGTGTGAATATGTGAATGTGTGCTTTTGAATGGGTTTGGCTTACATAATTAATGGATTTAATTATTCATCACATTATACATTAAACATATTAACATATTTTAATTTAATATAATTTTTCTAATTCCATGAACGTATATATATATACAGAGGAAACTGTCCTTTACACACATGACATGTTGATTGCTTCACCCACAGCAGAATAAGTCACATACCAGTTTGAGACTCTGCACCTATGCATACATACACATACACACCCACATTCACATCTACCACTGCATGGAGGAGGGAGTCCCTACCGCGAGGAAAACCCCATGGCTCTGTCTTGTCCTTCTCCTCTGTTCTCCTCCTCCTTGCTTCTCCCCATTCTTCCTTTCCTCCAGGCATATGTGATGAGCTTAAGCCCTGACTCACGGCATGTTAATGACGATGTAATGCGATTAACGGACATGCAATTAATTTGATTTCCTTCTTTGCCATGTGATGACGCCTCCATCAAAGGACACAGCGCTCATAAACAATTTGGAGGGAGAGAAGTGGAATGACTTAACTCGTAGTTTTTGCTTTCAAGGGCGTAACTCAGAGGAAACAATGGGATGCCTTCCACGGCTGCCAGGAGAACTGAAGATCAACCAAAACATATCTTAGCACTCTATGGGTGCTTACGAACTCATAGAAGACACAAAATTAAATAAAAAAAATTAAATGCTTTTTTTTATGTATGTAGCACTATATCTACATCTAAAGCTTAAATCCTTTTTTGGCTTAAAGGTGTGGGATCATATGTGTTGCCAATGATTCCGTGAGTATTAATATTGAGTATCAGCAGGTTTCTCTAACAGGATCATCATCCTTATCAATATTCAATCAATGTGTATACTTATTTAGTATGCATCAATATCATATATTGGGTATTGATATAGCATCACATGCCAGGCCATGTGAAAATTATATAAAATCTAACGTTGAACATAAGCATAAGAAGCAAAAGCTCTCCTATATCCAACAAATGATGCTCTTGGGCTCTCTCAGCTTCTAAATGTCTCTCATCCACGGGAGGAACAGAAAAAAAGAATGGCCCTGTATCTACAGAAAGTCTGTTTGGTTACTGTAACCAGGAAGCTCTTTTATCATCTGTCAGATAGTCCCAGGCTTTTCTCTTGACAATAGTATACATTACAATTTTGTTTGTCTTTTCTCATTGTAGTAATGTTGCAATGGTGTCACAGGCATCCGAGGGAATTTTCATTTTATTTCAGTAAATAAGAGTAAAGAAGAACTAAGCATTGCTAACACGAATCAATAAAGCCAACATGTCTTGATGCTTTTGGTTCTGGGAAAATTGGAAGTGAAAATGTATGTATGACTTGTAATACATCTCCACGAACAGTAACTCTGATTTCTTTGCTGGGGCTTTATACTCTAAGGCTACTTTAATACAGCAATATATAAGAAAGTTTAATATTTTATGGGTATGAGATGATAGTCTAATGAGCCACATGGTTGTATGCTTTGTCCTTGTATATATATATATATATCATGAATGTAGAGAAACCTGGAACCTGTCACATCACCTGTTGCTGCTGAGGATGTTTTAGAGCCGGCATTTGGTTTTATTTGCTTGAAACCGTGCAGCCAGCAAGCTGCGATTGTGTCAGTTAATATTACCGCTCCTCTTGACCTTTTGTGTTCCATCTGACACATCATGAAATGTTAAGAGTTCTCCTCTCTCTGTCCATTTCTGCCTTGCTCTTCAGGTGACCCCGCAGCAGAGGAGTGGTCACAGTGGAGTGTGTGTTCTCTCACCTGTGGGCAAGGCTGGCAAGTGAGGACACGATCGTGTGTTTCTTCTCCCTATGGAACACTGTGCAGCGGTGCCCTCCGGGAAACACGCATGTGTAACAACACCGCTTCCTGTCCAGGAGAACCTGGGGTCACAGGCTCAGGTATGCTTACTGAACTCTCCACTGGCTGCCTTTCAGCATTGCCTGAATTCACGGGCACTGACTGTTCTTATTCAAGAATGATGGGGGTTCTGTCTTTATGTATTTATTTATCTTTGAGTGATTTTTTAAAATCTGAGATAGACTGGTGACCCCTCCAGAGTGCCTGGCTCCCCACAGTGCATTCTGGGATATGCCACTATGACCCCAAGTAGGGATTAAAAGGTCGAGAAAATAGATTAACAACGTTAAGCAGTATTGAAAAATGACGACCAACGACCACACTGTAGGCACCGTTCTTTTTAATTGTGTTTTGTAAAATATAATTTGACAAAATGCAGCTTTCAACCATAATCTTTCTGCTTAACACCTCACTCACCCATGCGGCATTTACTTGTCTATTTAAAATGTGTTAAGAAAGCTGTAAAACCAAAGACAATAATGACAGTGTGAAACTCTTGTCACTTTTGTGGAGGGTAGGCAGTATGCACACACACACACACACACAATCACACACATCACATGGGATCATTTTGTCACTTCAATTCACACTACTGGCCAGCTGAGAGAGAAAGAGGTAAAGACACAGAGAGACAGACATGACACCTGAGCTCAATGTCAGCAAGTCTATTATACTTGCCATGGCTCAGAAGTTAATACTTCCTGGCCTCTCTATCTTTAGCTCTCTTCTGTTCTTTCACTTTTCTTTCAGCATTGTTCTGTTTTCCCTTGTTTTGCCTATATTAATGTCTACCTATGTCTAAACAAATTCGGTATTCTAGAAAATTAGAAAATGAATCCACCAAGAACATAATTACAAGAGAAACTCATCAAGGTAAGAAGGTAAGAATACGGCCTATACAAAGATCGAAATTGTTGAATGTAAATTAAATGTAAAGTTAAATTTGTGGTCGCACTAATGTGATAAACATAGAAAAACATTCAAAATGAAAACTGCAGCTACACTTTTGCTTCGTATTCTGCGGAATGCATTTTTCATTTTAAATGCAATGGCAGCTCTAAGATATATTCAACCTTTTAAATACAAGTTTTATTTGCATATGCTCTCAGCAAATCAAGGTGAGTGTATGCAACCCTACCTGCTTGCTACTAAAAGGCAGGAGCAACATAAAGCGCACTTTGTCACACGCAACACAACACAATCAAGCCAGATCGAGTCACTGAGTGGACATATGTACCGCTCATCCTGAATATTGTGAGTCCTTCACTAGATGGAAATTTTAAAGTACTGCCTGCCCCCTGCTATTATAGCCTTCACCAGTGTGCTAGTTGCACAGTGTGTTGTCTGTTTGCTTGCATGGTTCTTGTAGCTGGACAGGAGGAAGGATTATCACTATTGATCATCAATATGTAAATGATGGAAAATCTGATATTTCTCCAGGTGGGAACTTGGTGCATTCCTGTCAAAAAAGGCCTCACTATCAACTGAGGAATTGCATCTGTGGTGGGGCTATGCAAAGTAGATGAACAACCTCAACTCTGGTGTTCATACAAACATGGGCCATGCCAAAACAAGCAACAGTTGAATGTATATTTCTGATGCAACAACAGAGAGACAATTTGGAAAATCAATGCTGCTGGCTACTCAGTATAATCAAGAGAATCATGTCTGAGCCAGATATAATATCAGACAGTCTAAAACCAATAATACCTAAGAGAGTGCGTCACAGGAATATGGATCTAATGTCTCCCTCAAACAGCCATTCTAATAATGACAATGATGTGTTTGAGGACAGAACTTCCCTGTGGATGGATAACTCAAAGCAAAAGTTGGGCTACTACAGTCTAAATGTCAGCATCACCACATGGACTTCACCTATCACCCCTAATAGACATTGAACATTCAAGGTATCTCTGTATGTGCTACACAGTATGTATAGTATGTGTGGTTGTGGTGTTGATGTGTAGTTTCTGTTGTTTGTGTCTGCGCCTGCCTGCATAACGTGAGGGTGTTGTTTTGGCTTCGTCCCGTGTTATGTCAGTGTTATTCGTTACGTAAGTAAGTAAGTGCATTTCAGTGTGTATTTTCTGTACATCTAGAGTGAGAGTTTTGATGCCCCCCCCCCCGCAGAAAAACAAAACATGAGAAGCGAGAGGAATATTTTCCTTCCCTGTCGGTGCATATGCTAATCTTGTTTTTATGCAAATGTGCCAACGCGATTTGTATGTCTAAGTGCCTCATTTTCCATTCAGCGTCGATATTAATATCCTCAGCCTTTCCTTTGATGGAATATTGGTTGCTGTGTTATGTTCCGTTTATTATTTCTTTTTTCCCCCACTCCTCTGATGTTTCCTGATGTGGTTCTGGAGGGGTGTAGGGGTACTTCAGGGATTGCCTGAATGGGATCACACCAAATTCAAGTAGACTGGGAATGTAGGGGCGGTAGCAAAGAGACATAAAAGTGTTTAGTGAACTTAATGTGATTTACTTTCTTTTAAAATCATTTTAGTTTTATATTTTATCTTATCTTTTTACTTTGACTTATTGTGGGGTATAATTTGGGGCTTGTTTGATTTGTTAATCTTTATGCTGCTGGATTCAATCCCTGTCCACCCCTGGTCCAATGGGGAGTCATAAAGAAAAATTTAGTACTTCATACACAGGCAGACACACAAGCACACTAATCAGGACTGCAGTAATTTGGACTATCAATTCAGTCACAAAAATAACAAATGTACACCTCAAATACTATAAAAAATACACATAAAATGCTAATGTAACACTCTCAATGTCAATAAAAAATAAAATAAAAATGAAACAGCGATTTGAGTTTGTAGAGAAATACATATAGAGACACAGCTCATTGGCTGAACATGTCAACCAGTAGGGCCAATTTCCTGATTTACCTGAAAGATCCGCAAGTGAAATGTCTTTAACCATGATCCTCTATTCTGTTTCATATGTATTTGCTCACAACCACAAATATAAACGGCACACAGGAATAAGAGCACATGCAGACACACACACACACTTTCACAGTTTCTCCCAGAGTATCCTGAGGTGAGGAGAGTGCAGTCTGCATGCTTAATTGGGTAGATGGGTTTGCCAGAATTTTCTATTCTGCTTTTTTAGCATTTATTTGTGTTTGTGCACAAGTTAGGACTTAGAAGTATGGGTGTGTTATGAGGGTGAGTGTGGGTGGATATGTCTCTGGGCACATCTCTGTGCATGCCTGTATGTGTGTCTGCGCGAGTTAGGGAACATCAAAGAAGTAGCTTGGACAGAAAGCCAATGAAGTGAAAATGGACATTTTTTTTCTCCTCCGTTTTTTATGGGTAAAACTCTTAAATTAAGGTGATACAGATAATCAATTTTAAGTAATGGTCTGGCTCTTGACAAAGCAAACTAGGCAGTAATTGGCCTGGCAAATTAACTTTTTTTTTTTGGAATATGCACTGAAGTATAAGGATTTCATGCCCCAAAGCGTGCAAAGTGAAGTAGTACCCCTGCTTCTCTTCTATTTAGCTACTGCTCATTTGCCATAGAATCAGTGACATTTAAAACATGCAGTGGAACAATGGTGCATTATGAATACAGTATGTCTGGGTCAGTGCGTAGTCAAACGCTGCAACACCACATTTCCAGTATTAACTCAAGCAAGAGACCGAAGGTGCATGCAAGGATATTGTCATGAACTCATGGCAGACTTATGCAGATGGTACACACACAAACTTACGCATGCACATACCCTCATACATAGTGTTAATTGATGCAAGCATTCCATGTGCTATGACCCCAGATGAAATTGCTGGTAATAATGGTGACACTTAGGGTCAATATGATGCATGTGCCCTATTATAGACTATGCAAATCAAATGTAATTAAAGCTGCAAGCAGCGTTGGGCGGGCCCTCACACGTGTAGCGCGTCGAGGAGTGAGGTGGCCATTTTGAATTTTATGGTCTTTTTTGGATGATCTACACACTCCGTATACTTTAACGAACTCCTCCTAGGCATTAAGAACCGTGCGAGGTCCCTATTGAAACTGAAGGGGATTCTTTTTCTTTTTTCTGCAAAGTAACCTCAATTTTGGGGGCCTAAACATATTCGAAAACTCACCAAACTTTGCACAAAATTCAGGAAATGGCTCGCTAACGCCCCCTACAGAGCAGCCCCCGGACTAAGTTTCACCTATGTGTACGAAAATTCTGTGGTATGTGTATCATGTCCAGATGTGCAAAAAAGCCTCTTGGAGCCATTGCCTAAACCCAACAGGAAGTCGGCCATTTTGGATTTAATGGTCATTGTTGGCGATTTACACACTCTGTACTTTTACGAACTCCTCCTAGGGAATAAGTCCGATCAACTTCAAATTTTCGCTGTGCAGTCTAAACCCATTGACGATTAAAAGTTGTACAAACGGTTATATCAGTCGGCCAGTTTACCCGTGGCGTGCTGTCAAACATTGATGATTCGCCATGAAACAGGAAGTTGTTATAACTTCAGTATACATGCTCACATCTGCACCAAATTTTATATGTTTAATAAGAGTCGCGCCCTGAACACACCCATATGCCAATATTCACTAAAAGTCATAGCGCCACCTGCTGGAAACAGGAAGTGACCTTTAACAAAGCAGCCCCCTACGCACGTTTCAACTACATGTATGAAATTTCTGTGGCACATGTATAATGTCAGGGCGTACCAAAATGCCTCTTGGAGCAATGCTCTAAACCCAATAGGAAGTCAGCCATTTTGAATTTTATGGTCTTTTTCGGATGATTTACACACTCCATACTTTAACGAACTCCTCCTAGGCATTAAGAACCGTGCGAGGTCCCTATTGAAACTGAAGGGATTCTTTTTCTTTTTTCTGTAAAGTAACCACAATTTTCTGCAAAAATCTTTGCAGAAAAAAGAAAAAGAATCCCTTCAGTTTCAATAGGGACCTCGCACGGTTCGTGCTGGGGCCCTAAATATAAGAAATTAAAAATTAAAATATCTTCATACAGCATGCATCATAAGTAAATATCATTATTGCACAGACACGTATAGAAGTCACGCATCCTCATTACAAATATCCTTATTCTCTGCAGTGCTATTAAAGTGTGCTCTACTAAGCGTGTGTGTATGCATATGTTTAAATAAAGGAGGGGGAGCGTGGACATTTTATCTTCTCTTATTTGAGCTTGCTCGCATTTACATCAGAAACCCAGGCCAGTGTAAGTGAGTCTATGTGTGCTCCCTTTTTGTGCACGTTTTAAATTTTTTTTTTTGCTATTCATTTTTCACAAAGCTCAATTTCTGGAGTTCATGAACTTGCTTCTGTGACCTTTGTGTTGCACAGATCTGTCACTTTGTTGTTTGATCATCACTGATCACTTATTTAATTCTTTTTTTTCTGTGCTTGCAGCTGTAAACATGCTCTTCTCCACCTCCCTCTGAGACTGCAAAGAGAACTAAAAGACAGTTGAACTAAAAGATGCGCTGTATAATGTTAATGTAGCTGTTGGTGTCAAGATAGACGACAAGTTTGATGTAATTGCCCCGTGTTGGTGTGTTTCTGACTGGACTGAATGGGGAGTATTTACCTGATCGTGGCATAGGTAGTGTGACATAATCCTAATCCCCATATCCAAGGACATTTTGTCATGTTTTTTCTTCTTTAATTTGCTTCTACATTTCTCCTATGTCCCTATCTCCAAATTATATTGATTCATTTTAATGTGTCTTAAACCCAAAGCAGCTTCAAGCTTGATTTTATGGGCCAATTGATTGACTTTGCACAGATACACTTTTATGGGGTTTGAGGGATGGAGACTCGATTCTGATGAATAAGTAATGGCCTACAAGCAATCCTGTGGTGTTGAGGTAAAAAAAAAAGATGCTTAAAAAGAGAACTCTGACTGAACTGTATTTTTAGCTTCCCTCTACTCTTTATTGTCTCAAGTTCTGCCGTCTCCCGAGAAGGATCTTGCGATTTGGAATGAGATACCCCCAAGGAATCTGCTTGCACTTTGAGGATAAACACCACCTTTCGCAGCCACAACTTTCTCAGCTGGTTGCACTAAATTGCAATTTCAAAGCTCAAAAAATCTTTAATTTAGGGGCTGATGAACACTTGCAACCATGAAATAGTGCATTTAAAAAATAAAAGAAAGAAATTTGGGACTGGGTGTTTGCTGTTAGCTACAGTATGACTCACAAATCCCAAAATGAATGCCAACAACAATATTTTTTCAAATTCAGGATTGGGTTGCACAAGCCATTTGTAAATCTAATACAAAGTGTGTGTGTGTGTGTGTGTGTGTGTGTGTACAGTTCTTCTTAAGATCTTACTACTTGCTAGTTTCAAATTTGGTTGCACCAGCAAACCTGGCTAGTAAGTTCTTCAGTAATGTGAGGTGGTACATTTTGTACAAATCTCTACTTAGTAAACACTTATGTTATAACTATGCTGAGTTTTAACTCAAGAACAGCTGATATAACCGGCTCCAGTTCAGCAAGGGCCACAAATCAGCTTACTTGAAAAAGCATTTCATTAAAATGTACAAGTAGAATAACAAAAACAACACAAATGCTTATCAATGGATACAGTCCTGATGCTTTTTTAAAATCTCTGCCAATATTGCAACATATAGCCATTTTCTACAGCTTACTTAAAGACACACTGATAACATGTGTAGCTGAATCTACAGATTACTCACTATTTACCAGCTCTCTATATCTCTGTACTTTTAATACCCCCGTCTTCTCCCTCTCTCTCAGCCTTCTACTCCTGCTCCTCTGAGCCTTCCTTCACAGAGTAGACTTAATTATTTATTGCCATGATTTATTTAGCTTTGCTCAACACAGGACCAGCAATCTCCATCCTGCTGTCTCTAACTTTCTATCCCTCCCTCCCCCCCTTCTCTATAGCTTGCCTTCTATCTTTCTCCCAGCATCTCTCCAAATCTGTTCCTTTCTCTTTCTTCCATCTCTTCAACATAGCTTAATCTCCTGCGGTCTCTCGCTGCACATTTCTGTATCTTCAAAATAACCTCCTCATTTTCTCTGCCTCTGTTTTCTCATTCCAAAGTCTTTCAAACTTTTTAAGCCCAAATCCCTTCTCTTACAATCTCCGCTCTTTGTCATGTTCATCTGTTTTTATTCTCTCCCTTCGTGACACTCATTAACCAGTCCTGTCACTCATCTTTTCATCCTTCTCCAGTTGAATATTTCTTTTGCATTCATGTTCCTCTAATATCTGTCTTTCCATCATTATTCCCTCTAATCTCAGGTCAATTATTTTTTGTGCATGCACGTGCAAATGCGTCTGTCTTTTCTCTTACATGGCAACAAGCTGCTGAATTATCCTTCATTATCTGCAAACTTTTTGGTGCAACTCCACTGCTCATTTATTTCTATTTATTCTGTTGTTCTAAAATGGGATGAAATGTGCCAAAAAAAAAAGGAAGAAGGAAAGAAGAGGGGAAACATTTTCAATACTTTAATTGGTGTTTGAAGTGTTTGAAGTCACTGGAGTTTTTGGATCCTTTGGTTCACTGTATAGAATAACTGAAAGCTCTAATAATTTCAGAAGCAAACTTACCACATTCGTTGTTTTGTTATGACTCGAGCTGCGTTACTGCATGACTTCAAATGCCAGTGTCCATTCCTACATTTTCTTTCATGTAGTAACATGTAAGTTCAGTGTTTCTTTTCCTTTGTAATTGGAATGCTTTTGTGGAGGTCAGAAGGTCACCTCCATCATGCTTTCTAAGGACAGACTCATTAAATATCTCGTTTCTCTCATTCTCTAACCCTCTTGCCTGCGATGGGATGGTCCACCCCCTCCCCCCTCTCCCTCTCTCCCTCATTCCTCATCCCCATGTTGTGTGTGTTTGTGCGTGTGTTGTGGGTGCTGCAGTGCATGGGCTGTGGGAGGAGTGGTCGTCATGGAGTCTGTGCTCTGTGACCTGTGGGCGGGCTCCAGGACGCGAACCAGAAGTGTGTGAACGGAGGCGGCCGTGGCTTGTGGACAGCCTGACATTCAGACCAAACTCTGCAACATAGCAGTGTGTCCTGGTTAGTACCATCCCCATTTACATTCTACACCCATTTTCTCTCTCTCTCTCTCTCTCTTGGCCTCTCTGTATTCCAGCATGACTTCTTTTTCTCCCAAATCACAAAAACCAAACTGGGTTGGTGTCATAGCTCTTGAATTTACATGCTTATGCATTTATATTTTGTGTTCTTCCGTTGAAGTTCTTGCAGTGACCACGTGTTTCTCTCCTCTGCTAAACTGTGGACTAATGCTGCATTCATGTCACGCCGTGCAGGCTGTAATTACGAGAAGCTGAGTGGGAAAACTGTACATGTCACCCTGCCATAATTCTAAGTATAGGCTGTTGGTTATTTCTGACAGCTATGATATCTTCC